TGACTGTCCTTTCTTCCTTTATGGAGTTTAGACTTAGTGAGATCTTTCCAGTAGCCAGCTCAGATGCCTTGGCCCACATGATTTACCTGCTAAAGCAGTTATAACCCAGCAGACTGAAGAGTAGGCGTGATGAAGGGAAGAGCTCCACCTGCCGGTCAGAGCCAGGACCACAGCAGGAGACAGCACTGGAGTTGTGCCCAGGATCTCAGAGGCCATCAACCTTGCGAATATGACACCAGAGGCAAACAGCTGAGGAATGTTTAGTGAAGCAATACGTGACTTGAAAAAGTCGGAACACCATGTGAAAAGCTTGGGAAGGACCTGGAGTGAGCTGCCATGTGGGTGCTGGGAACCAAACCTAGGTCCTTTAATGCAAGGACAAGTACTCCTAACTACTGACCATTTTCCAGGTCCAGTGTCTGTCTCCCCACCACTCTAGTCCCATTGCCTTTTTTTTCCTTTCTTTTCCTTCATTTGTTGTTTCTTCCACTTTGTTCCCTCTAAAGAGTTGGGTTTTTTGTTTGTTTGTTTGTTTTTTTTTTTTTTTTTTTTTACTAGCCGGAGTGTTGGTGGCACACACCTTTAGTCCCAGCACTTGGGAGGCAGAGGCAGGTTGATCTCTGTGAGTTTGAGGCCAGCCAGGTCTACAAAGCTAGTTCCAGGACATCCTCCAAAGCCACAGAGAGAACCAGAGAATACAGTTTTTTTTTTTTACTGTATTCTGTCATTTTATAGGCATAAGTTTAGAAAACATTTTTAATTCTTCATTTTCTTCATTTCCTTTCCCTTCCTCTTTTTTCTTTTTCTTTCTTTCTTTCTTTCTTTCTTTTTTTTTTTTTTTATTTAAGACAGGTTCTCCTTTTGAATTCCTGACTGACCTTGAACTCTGGTGGTACTACAGACTGGCCTCAACTCAGAGATCCACTGGCCTTTGCCTGTTGAGTCTGGGATTAAAGGTGTGCACCTCCAGCTGCTCAGTTCATCCAGAAGGAGAGACCAGTTACTACTGCCTTTAGTGTTCAGCACAGTCATTCACCATGCTACAAAAATAACCAGCTTCTATAATACCTTAATTTCTAAACCCTTTTTGTTTTGAGGCAGGGTTTCATGTAGCTCAGGCTGGCCTATAACTTTCTTTCTTTCCTTATTTCTTGCTTGCTTGCTTTTTTTTTTTTTTTTTTCAAAACAGGATTTCTCTGTGTAACAGTCCTCGCTGTCCTGGAACTCATGTTGTAGACCAGAATGGCCTCAAACTCACCAAGATCTATCCTCCTCTGCCTCTGAAGTGCTGGGTGGGACTAAAGGTGTGTGCCACCACCTCCTGGCTACAACTCGCTTTGTAATGAAGGATAACTTTGAACTCCTGGCCCTTCTGCCTCTACTTCCAATTCTGGAATGACAGGCATATGATAGCATTAATTTACTGTTAATAAACCAAAAAGAGGAAGGAAGTCATTGCTCAGTCCCTCTCCCACCCCATTTTCAGAGGCAAACTGGGCTCCAGTTTGCAATTGGGGCTTAACAGAGATGGAAGGAATCTTGAAGTCACCTTGGTTATCTCTGTCCCTGTACAACAGAGAGACTGAGGCCCTGGGAGGAGAGATATTTTTTTGACGACTAATTTCAGTTCCTCTGGATCCCTATCTCAGGCTGCTTAAGTGCTAGCTATATGAAGAGAGGCTTGAACATCCAGTTCTGGTTGTTTCTTTACTCCAAAATGTCTGGATGGCCCCCAAATCATGCCATCCTGTTTGTAAGGATTTAGGCATTATCTGAATGCATTCTTCCAGGTGACAGCATAATGCCTGAAGCCTTACACTGTTTCCTTACAGAAATACCAGGAGCTCCTAAGTATATACCTTTCTCATGGTCATGATGAATCTATAAAACGGGCTTTCTAGCATGTTGAAGAGTACAAGGTCTACTTCAGAGGACCCAATAACATTTGGAAAAAAATTGTAAATGGCATCATATAAATAAGAAGAAATAGTATTGGCCAGCAAGTTGGCTCAGTGAATACAGGTGCTTTTCAAAAGAACCAGATGACCTGAGTTCAGTCCCCAAGACCCACATGGTGGAAGGAGAGAACTGACTCCCAAAGGTGTTCTCTGACCTCCACAGGTGTGCCACAGCATGCACATACCCAGGTACCCTAAAACACACACAATTAACTAAAAATGTAATAAAACTGTAAAAATAATAGTAATGCTAACTTAATGTAATAGAAATATAGTGGAAGAATATGGGCATTAGGTGTCTAGGCCTTGAGGTCACCTCTCCTAAATTGTCATGAGTTTGTTCTCTACTGGGTGATATGGAGATAATGATACTTGTTTTGTAGGAGGCCAAGAGGGTTAGTGATCACATAAATCAAGACCTTCTGCAATGATCCCTGAGCCTTAGGTGCAGGAGTCGTATTGTAGATGTATTAGCTGGCACTGGGTACCACAAGTGCTCTTGTTCTTTGCCTTTGATTGGTTGACACTTTCTTTAATAATCTCTAAGTATTACAAAGAGAAATTTCTTGAAAATTATTTCAAAGGCAGGCACAGAGCCAGTGGAGATGGTTCAATGAGTTAAGGTACTTGCTGCTAAGCCTGACAAACTGAGTTCAACACACACACACACACACACACACACACACACACACACACACACACACACACGAAACAAGACTTTTAAGCTAGGAGTAATGGCATATATCTATAAAAATTGAAGCACTTGGGAGGTAGAGACAGGAAGATTAGGAGTTCAAAGTTATTCTTGGCTACATTGGGAGGAGTTCAAAACTAGACCATGCAACATGAGACTTTTGATTTAAAAAAATCTAGAAAATGATTTTAGGTAAAGTATATTAGTGTACAATTTAAATTTTATCATTAAAAGTTATTTTTTCATCCCTTATCAAAGAAGCTTCTGTGAGTTCCAGGCCAGCCTGGTCTAATAGAGAATTCTAGGACAGCCAGAGCTACATAGAGACACTCTTATCTCAAAAAAGACCCCAAACAAGAAAAGAGTCCAAAGAATAATAAACTAATTCAAAAATTTCCCATGGTGTCTTAGTCACTTTCCTATTGCATGGAAGAGACACCATAATCAAGGCAACTTACAGACAAAAACATTTATTTGAAGCTCACAGTGTCAGAGGGTTAGAATCCACAGCCATGATGGCAGAGAATGGCAACAGACAGGCAGGCAGGATGCTGGAGAAGTACTTGAGAGCTCACACCTTGATCCACAAGCAGGAAGCACAGACAGAGAACTAACTGGGAATGGAATGGGCTTTTGAAACCTCAAAGCCCACCCACCTCTCCCAGTGACACACCTCCTTACCCTTGCAAACAGTCCCACCAGCTTGGGACCAGCTCTTCAAACATAAGAAAGAGCCTATGGGGTTATTCTCATTCAGACCACCACAGAAGGGAATTAGTGACCTGTGGAGCACAAATAACCCAGAGACAGATATTGGGGTTCAAGCTGAAGATTAGAGAAGCAAAGCCATCAAAGAGCTCTTATCTCTATCAACGCTCAAACCGAAGGGGCGATCCACCGAAACCTCAGATTGCATCTCCATACTGCACTGCTCCTCACCAAACCTTAGACTGCTAGACTGCTCTCTGAAACTGCAATGGGTTCTTTATATACTCTCTAGTGCTGGGATTAAAGGTGTGAGCTTTGTTTCTTTTAGACTAATTCACTCTTGTGTAGCCCTGGGCGGCCTTGAACGCACAGAGATCCAACCACCTCTGTCTCCTGAGTTCTGGGATAAAGTTGTGTGCCACGACTGCTCAGCTTCTATGGTTGTGGCTAGCTTTGCATTCTGATCCTCCAGGCAATCTTTGTTAAATCTTAAATAATATATCGCCACATTACTATGTACATTTTAAATAAATTCCACTAGTTCCCCAGGCTAGTCTAGAACTTCTTGGCTCATGCAATCCTTCTTTCTCAAGTTTCAGAAGAACAGAACTACAGGCATGTGCCAACACATCTGGTTATATGAAAGACTCTTGGGGCAGAAAAAAAACAAAAGGTAATGGCTAACAGTACACATTTGTAATTTCAGCACATAGTAGGTGGAGGCAGGAAGATTAGGAGTTCAAGGCCAGCCTGAGCTCCATGAGACCCTACCCCACAAATCAAACAACAAACAAATGTAAAATATCTTCATGTAATTTTGGGGGTGGATGGAAGGGATTGAACCCAGGGCAAACCTCCAGCACTCTGCATGTTTAAGAGCACTGGGCTTTAGAGTCACATCTAGTTTATAATTTAAACTTTTTCTTCAGCCTGAGATTGTTTTCTTATCCACAAAACTGTGGTGATAAAATGATAGGAATACCATAGCTCTGATTTTGGAATTCAATCAGATTACATTTGTAAAAGTACACAACACTTCACCAGGTAACCTCTCAATCAATATTGGCTGTTTTCCCCTTGTTGGGGCAAAACGGAGGGTGATACAGAGGAATCTTAATATACTTCAAGGAAAAATGCCAGAGGCATCTGCGAATTCTTTGTGTGTGTGTGTGGGGGGGGCATTGGGGGAAGGAAAAGGGGGGGGAGGAAAAAGGAGCGGAGGGGAAGGCCCGCCTGTCTCTTCATAGGAACAGTGGGAAGAGCGAATCTGCGAATTCTTTCCAGACTACACCCATCATTGACATCCTGTAGCAAAGAATCTTCCCCATAAACCATCTTTCGTTCAACATACCACCACTAAGATCCATGGCTTTCTGTCTTCTCCATCTTTTCTTGCTAGGATACCTCAGTCCCCCCCACCCATCAAGTCCTTTATTCACCTCCCTCCCCTTCACTTCGCGTTCTAATTTACCTCCCTTAGTATCTCTCGCCAATCAGGGTGTAATTGTCCCCCGTTCCCCCCATCGCCTCTTCGGTTCATTACGAAGACGGTTTGTGATTGGCTGTTCCGGAGCAAGGTTAGACCAATGAGAGGCAGACTTTTTTGGTTCGGCCGAGTAAGTATTGTCGCCGCTGATTGGCTGGGTCGGCTGAGGGAGGAAAATGGCTGCGAGTTCCTCGGTAGTCTCGGTGGCAGCGGCTGCCGCCGCGGTTCCGGGCGTGTCCACTAGCGCGGATTTCTCAGACTTGCGGGACATTAAGAAGCAGCTGCTGCTCATCGCGGGCCTCACTCGGGAGCGGGGCCTGCTTCACAGCAGCAAATGGTGAGAGGTCGGGGTCGGACGGGGCGGCGCTGGATCTCGGCCTCGGGGGCTCGCGTGGCTGATGCGGTTTGTGTGGTGTTCCAGGTCCGCGGAGCTGGCCTTCTCTCTGCCCGCCTTGCCTTTGTCCGAGCTGCAGCCGCCGCCGCCTCTTACAGAGGTAAGGGCGTCGTTACAGTGACGTTCCCTAGCCGCAGAGGGATGTGGCAAGAGGTCCTCAGCGTCCTGTCACTGCAGGAGAACCAGATGCTCAGCGGGAATGATGTAGCTAGCGGAAACGCCAGCGTTGAACTGGGCCTTCCTTACAAGCGAGCTCGTGTGTGTGGGTTGCTTGTGCCTTGGAATGCAGTCTCTGCTGTCACTTAAACTGGAGAGAATTGGTGAACAATTATTTCTTGAGATTTCAGCCCTGATGGGGTTAAAGGGATGGCTCAGTGGTTAAGAACCCCAGTTCGATTTCCAGCACCCCAAGCAAGCGTCTTAAAATCACTTGTGAACTTCAGCTTCAGGAGATCCAATACCGTCTGTTCTTCTGGGGTACACACACATATGTAGTATACAGATACGCATCCATATACATAAAGGAAAATCTTTTTAAAAATTCATCCTTGGGCTAGAGGATGGCTCATCAATTAGCAGCACTTACTGCTCTTCTAGAAGAACTGGGTTTGATCTCTAGTAGTCACAGAGGCAGCTAACGGTTGCCTGGACCGAAGTTCCAGGGGCATCCGATGCCATCTTCTGGCCTTGGAGGGCACCAGATACCCATGTGGTTGGTGCACAGACATATTCAGGCATACCACTCATACGCAGAAAACAAAAACCAAACTCTGAAGCCTTTTAGGTTTTGGAGCCAACCTGAACAATGCTAATGAGAAAAATGAAATGAAATTTTGGCAACAGAATGAAATCTATCTTCTACATCATTGCTCTTTGTTGCAAATTGATTTAAGAGTATGGATTTGGACCGGGCTGTGTCACACACTTTTAATCCCATTCAGGAGGCAGAGGAAGTCGGATCTCTGAGTTTGAGGCCAGCCTAGTGTACAGAACAAGTTCCAGGACAGCCAGAGCTACACAGAATCCTTGTCTCAACATCCACTCCTCCACCCCCCACTCCACTCCCCCACCCCCCACCCACACCCCCGCCCCCCCAAAAAAGTGTACCAGGCTCGTAGAATTCAGTAAAATTAACCATTCTCATTAACAGCAGGAGACAGAGTACATGTGACTTGCAAGTAGATTTTCATTTGTATTTCAGGCATGTTCTCTACTAATACATCAATGCTGGCGGGTGAATAGAAGTGACAAGCTTAGCTGGGTGTTGGTGGTTCACACCTTTAGTCCCGGCACTCGGGATGCAGAGGCAGGTGGATCTCTGTGAGTTCCAGGACAGCCAAAGCTGTTATTGGAGAAACCCATTGTAGTGTATGGATGTTTGCCTTTGTGTGTAGCAGCACTTTAATGCCTGGGGCTTTGGAAGCCAGCGCATGTGTCAGGTTCCCTTTTAAGTTGCCTTGTGGGTGCTGGGAACCAGATTCCGGTCCTCTGCAAGAGTAGCCAGTCTTCTTCTTAACTGTTGAGCCATCACTTTAGCCCCACTCTTCGTTCTGGGGTCTCGCTAAGCGGCCCAGGCAGGGCTTAAATTTGCCATCTTCCTGCTTCAGCTTTCGGAGTAACTCAAAGGCTTATGCCAGTAGGCTGGATGAAACTTTCATTTTAAAACCGACTACTAGGTGACAGCTTTATAGCTCAGGGTTTAGAGCACTGGCCTTGTAAAACCAAATACCTCTGAATTACACTGTCTCTGACTTTGAGCAGAACATTCTTGGTGTTTCCTGAAGCAAAAATGAAAGTAAATATTTGTTTTTACTTATTTAGTTTTTGAGACAGGGTCTCACTATGTAACCTTGTGTGCTGGATAGTTTTGTGTCAACTTGACACAAGCTAGAGTTATCTGAAAGGGAACTTTAAGTGAGAAAATGCCTCCCTAAGATCCATCTCTATGGCATCCCCCCCTTTTCTCTCTCTCTCTCTTTCTTTTTATTTTTCCCTGAGACAGGATCTCTCTGTCTAGCCCTGGCCACCCTGGAACTTGCTCTGTAGACCAAGTTTGACCATGAAGTCAGAGAGATCTGCCTGCCTCTGCCTCTGTCTCCCATGTACTGGGATTAAAGGCTTGTGCCACCACCTCCAGGCCTCCTTCTTGGCTTGTAATGCATTTTCTTAATTAGTGATTGATGTTGGAGGGCCCAGTCCATTGTGGGTGATGCCATCTCTGGCCTGGTGGTCCTGGGTTCTATAAGGAAGTACAGTGAGCAAGCCATGAGGAACAAGATAGTGAGCAACACCCCTCCATGGCCTCTGCATCAGCTCCTGCCTCCAGGTTCCTGCCCTGCTTGAGTTCCTGCCCTCACTGCCTTTGATGATGAACTATTATATGGAACTGTGAGTGAAATAAACCCTTTCCTTCCCAAGTTGCTTTGGTTGTGTATCATCACAACAACAGTAACCCTAAGACATTTTTGCTGGCCTGAACTTACTCTGTAGACCAGGCTGGTCTTAAGCCACAGAGATCTGCCTGCCTCTGCCACTTGAGTGCTGGGATTAAAGATGTGCACTACCATGCCATGTAGTGATCAGAAGATGATTTTTGGGATTTGGTTCTCTCCTTCTACCATGTGGGTCCTGGGTATCAAATTAATTTTTTCAGGCTTGGTGGCAGGCTCCTTTATCCATAGAGTCATCTTGTTGATTCCAAAATACAAATTTAAAGTGGTATGGTCCAAGTAAAACTTTCTGAGTTAGTTCTTTTGTGTTTTTGAGGCAGGGTTTCTCTGTATTGCTTTAGAACCTGTCCTGAAACTCGCTCTGTAGACCAGGCTGGCCTTGAACTCACAGAGATCCACTTGCCTCTACCTGCTGGGACTAAGGGGTGCGCCACCAATGCCTGGCTAGGAATATTATTTTATGTGTGTATGTTTATATAGTTTTGCATAACTTTTTGTTACTGGTCTGAGACTTAATATGTATACCAGATTGGCTTTGGGCTTTCAATGATTCTCTTTCCTCTGCCTACTGAGTGCTGAGATTATAGGCATTATACCTAGCCTGGGTGAATTTCATCATAATTCACATAAAATTTTATTTATTTACTGTATATGTATGTGTTTGCATGCATGCATGGCACATATGTTGAGGTTAGAAGATGGCCTGTAGGGATTGGTTTTCCTTTTACTATGTGGGTCCTGGGAATTGACGAAGATTTTCAGACTTGATCACAAGTGATTTTAACCTTCTGAGTCATCTTGCTGGCCCCAACAATCCCAGACTTGTGTGTGACAGTTAGGGATACTCACCACTATAGTAATGAGGATGACTCCCCCACCCCACCCCCACCACACACAAGATACCATTTTCTCCTCTTCCATTTTCTTTTTTCTCCTTTTGACTGTCCTTATTATGTAGCACTGGCTGTCCTGAAACTCACTCTGTAGATCAGGTTTGGTTTGAACTCACAGAGATCTATCTGCCTGTCTTTGCCTACCAACTGCTGGAATCAAAGGTGTGTACCACCATGCCAGTCCTCACTTTTTTTTAGTATATGTGCTGCCAAAGCGAGCACCCCACTTTTTATTTTGAAAAAAATACTTTGGAAAAAAGTTCTTCACAGGTGATACATTATTTTAAAATTACTGTATAAATTGAAGTATCTGCCCACTTTGGGGGAAGATAAATAATTATTCTTTTCTTATATCTTGAAATTAATGACTTTGCTTTTTATAGGTACACTTTGTCTGTCTGTCTTGGTTTAACCACTCATATAACCTTATTTCTTCTAGGAAGATGCCCAGGACGTGGATGCTTACACCCTGGCCAAGGCCTACTTTGATGTTAAAGAATATGATCGGGCAGCACATTTCCTGCAAGGCTGCAATAGCAAGAAAGCCTATTTCCTGTACATGTATTCCAGATACCTGGTGAGGTCCACTTTAAGATGTTATTCCATCTTCAGTGAAACATCTGTATTTAGAATCAAGAGGAAATTTTTTTAACTTTATTTTTATTTTATGCATTAATGTTTTGACTACATGTATGTGTGAGGATGCCAGGTCCCCTGGAACTGGAGTTACAGACAATTTTGAGCTGCCATGTGGGTGCTGGGAATTGAACCCAGGTCCTCTGGAAGAGCAGTCAGTGCTCTTAACCACTAAGCCATCTCTCCAGCCCCCCAGGGAGAGCAGTCTTAATTAATAATAAATTCTATGTATGTATGTATTTAATTTTTAAATATCTAGGTAGTGGGTCATCAAGCAAATGTACTTAATAACTATTGCAGCAGTGATAATAAAAAACATTGATGCCAGGCCTGGAAGTGTACACCTTTAATTCTAGCACTTGGGAGGCAGAGGCAGGTGGATCTCAGTGAGTTTGAGGCCAGTCCAGTCTACAGAGTGAGTTTCAAGACAGCCAGGACTGTTACACAGAGAAACCTGTCTCAAAAAAACCCTCCAAAAAAGACAGAGAAAAGAGGAGAGTAACCAATTTTAAAGAAATGGCAACATAAAAAAACGTAGGTAGTATGATTAACAACAGGATGACTCTTCTTTGGGTTATGTTTAGGAATTGACAAGGTGTGGTGGTGTCTATTATCTCCATATTCTAGATGCAGAGAGTTAAGGATCCCATCAAGTTTGAGACTGTCTTGGTCTGCACAGTGTCATAGTCAGTTCAAAGGCCAGGTAGGGGTGGAGACCCTAACTTAAAAGGCCTGAAAGCAGGACATGATGATATACACTTAGAATCCTAGTACTTGAGATGCCAAGGCAGAAGATATAAGAGTGTGAGACCAGTTTGGGCTGCATAGTATAATCCTATCTTAGTAAATAAATGAATTGTTACAAGGAGTTTTCCCGCAAGCCTGGACCCAGAGCTGCGTCAGCCCCAAATAACACACAGAGACCCTGTATTAGATATTAAGCTGTTGGCCTGTTATTAACATTTCTTATTGGCTAGCTGTCTTAAATTTTATTAACCCATTTCTATTAATCTAAGTAGTCTTATCTTACTGGAGAGAGGGTCAGAACTTTTTCTCTCAAGTCTCTACATCTTGCATCTCCTTACTACATCTCCCAGAACCCTCCTTGTCTCCTAGTCCCGCCTATCTTGCTTTCCTATTGGCCAACAGGGCTTTATTCATTAACCAATAAGAGAAACATATTTACAGAATGACATCTCCCATTAATGAATCAATCAATAAATAAAATAAAGGAGTCACCCCAAAATAGAATTGAGTTAAAAAGTCTTGTTTTATGAACTCACTTATTATTTATTTATAGTTTATATATTACTTTATTTCATGGTTATTAAAAACATTAATATAAAGGTCAATGCAGCCTTTTATGGCAGCATACACACGTAATCCTAGTACTCAAAAGGCAGAGGCAGAAGGATTTCTTCAAAGCCTGCCTGGTCTATATTGAAATTCTAGGTCAGCTGTGGCTAAAGTAGTGAGAAATGGTCTCAAAAAACCTAAATAAATAAATGCGTGAGTAAACAGCAATGTAAGTGCAATTGTTTTGGATACCATCTTACTATGTCACATAGCCAAGGCTACCCCTGGAACCATTATCTTCTTGCCTGTAGGTCTGCAGAGTGCAGAGTGCCAGCCAGGTTTACAGGCATGCACTTCCATATGGGGCCTTCCTTCCTTCCTTCCTTCCTTCCTTCCTTCCTTCTTTTTTTTTTTTTTTTTTTTTTCCCCCAAGACTAGATTTCTCTGTGTAACTGGCTATCTTGGAACTTACTCTGTAGACCAGGCTGGCCTTGAACTCACAGAGATCCACCTGTTTTGTTTCCTTAGTGTTGGGATCAAAGGCGTGTGCCACCCGGCTAGGCAGACAGTCTTAACTGAGTTATACTTCAGCCCTAATATCTATTGCTGACTTTTGCCTAAAACTGACTTTTTCCTCCCCCAAAGCACCTTTATCTGATATTTCAAAAAAAATTTTTTTTTTAGTATCTTTCCACACTTAATCAACATGAGGCTTTTATGCTTTTAGTAAGATCCACCATCCCCTCCCACATTTTTCTACTTAGTATCAACATGAACTCATGGATCCCCTCTTTCTCTCTCTTTTTTATTTTTTATTTTTTATTTTTTTGGTTTTCCAAAACAGGGTTTCTCTGTAGCTTTGGAGCTTGTCCTAGAACTCACTCAGTAGACCAGGCTGGCCTTGAACTCATAGAGATCTGCCTGCTTCTGCCTCCTGAGTGCCGTGTTAAAGGTGTGCGCCACTACAGCCCGGCTAGATTCTCATATTTTTAAGTGACTATAATACATTACTATATTTAAGTCTTTGGTGCTCAGTGTACTCTATATTTAGCTAGTGGGAACACCTGAATGAATGTTGTTTATAAGGTGGGTGTTATTTTGCTTAGACTTTTGTCAGCCCTGTAGATAGAATCAGACTGCTGATTTTAGAAAGCATTTTAGAATAAGCTGGAAAAATGTATTTGTTTATTTTCCCCTCTTCTCTTACAGTCTGGAGAGAAAAAGAAGGACGATGAAACAGTTGATAGCCTAGGTATGTTTTTTGCCCCATCTAACCTTTTGTCCTAAAAAGCAGATCTGCACACTTAGATGCCATATAGGTCATGAAGGTACCATAAGTAGACTATGTGGCCCACGTAGAATAGAATGGAGAGTTCATGGACCTATATCAGCTACCTACTTGTCATCCAACTCCACCTCAGGGCTGCTGTGGGAATCCTCTTGGTGCCTTGTTTGCTTCCCTTAACCCATGCTTGTTTTCTGCAACCTAAGGTGAAAAGTTCAGTATTAACTGAAGCTTCTGATTTGTAAACATTGATAACCTAGGACTGCACACCAGCCATTACATAGAGGAAATGGATTGTGTGAGGGGTTGCAGGCACAATTTTGGTTGATGGTAACAGGAATGTATATGTGTGTCTGAGAATGAAAACAAGCATCCTTTCCTCAAATGAAAGACTCTTTCTCTCCCAGGACCCCTAGAGAAAGGTCAGGTGAAAAATGAGGCTCTCAGAGAACTAAGAGTGGAGCTCAGCAGGAAGCACCAGGCCAGGGGACTCGATGGATTTGGCCTTTACCTGTGAGTGTTGCCAGGGCTTTGGGCTTTCAACAGCACATTTGCCCCCTTGAATAGAGGAGATGTTCTCAGGCATTAACTTTCCTGGTGGCTGTGACTTTCTTTCTCAGGTACGGGGTGGTGCTTCGGAAACTGGACTTGGTAAAAGAGGCCATTGATGTGTTTGTGGAGGCTACTCATGTTTTGCCTTTGCACTGGGGAGCCTGGTTGGAGCTGTGTAACCTGATCACAGACAAAGAGATGGTAAATTAACATAAGCTTCGAAGGGAAACTATAATCTGTGATAGTGTTTGGGGAGGAGTGCTCCCAGGGTAGATTTTGTTGGTAGCTAGCTCTTTGCTGTGTTTCCAGCCCCTTTCACTATTTTGTTTGTTTGAACTTGCTACGGTAGCCTAGGGTTTCTTTAACCTGCTGGTTCTTTTGCTTCTACCTGCCTGCCTCCCTGGGAGTATAAATGTGTATTCTCATGCCTGACTTTTTGTTTGTTTGAGATGGGGCTCTCACTGGGCGGTGGTGTCGCACACCTTAAATCTTGGCACTTGGGAGGCAGAGGCAGGTGATTCTCTGTGAGTTCAAGGCCAGCCTGGTCTACTGAGTGAGTTCTTAGACAGCCTCCAAAGCTACACAGAGAAACCCTGTCTCAAAACACACACACACACACACACACACACACACACACACACACACACACACACCACCAACAAAAAACAAAAAGAAAACAAAAAACAAACCCCAAAACAAACAAACAAACAAAAAAAACAAAACCCAAAAACTAAAGGTGGGTTGATTCTTCTGTTCCTTCAACAATGGTTTGTGTGGCTAAGTCAGTGTCTGAAAAATGTATCTTTATTTGTACTCACCTCTGCTAGGCTTTCTTTATATCTAAAATAGGCAAAAACAATTTTTACATCTTGCATATCAAATCTCTCTTCTTTTGCCTATCAGATTTTTTCTTCCTTCCAGCTTGATCATTACTGTCACTACTCAAGATATCCTGAGTTGGGTGGGAGTGGCTACTGTTGGTGCTGGACATAGTAGGCCTTAAATCTAGCCCTTTCCCTGGACTGAGAAAGTTCTCTACCACTGATATCCCGTCTCAACACCTCCAAGTCTGTTGCCTCCTTTTCTCTCGTCTCTCTTTCCCAAGGTTGAAACAGTGCCGTGGTTTTTTTTCTATAGGACTCTTTCTCTTGCTTGTCACCTGTTAGCATCTCAGATCTGGATTACTTAATTAAATAATAGATACTTTCTCTCTAGCTTCTGGTTTACACTCTTCCATTTCCAGCTCATCCAGCACACAGTTTCCAAAATTCCAAAAAAATTTTAAGTATAAAAAATAAAAGACTCACATAGTTTTATTTTATGTATACAAGTGTTTGCCTGCATGAATTTATGTGCACCATATGTGTGCACGATGCTCAAGGAAGTCAGAAGTCATCAGAATCTCTGGAATTACAGGCAGTTTTGAGCCATCCTGTGGGTGCTGGGGAATTGAATCCAGGTCTACTGTAAGAGCACCCCCTCTCCCCCAGTGATGTCTTTATGTATCCCTGTCTGACCTGGACCTCTATGTAGACCACGATATCACAGAGATCCTCTTACCTTATTTCCCAAGGAGGAGACAGGGTTTCTCTGTGTAGGTCTGGAACTTGCTGTGTCGTCCAGGCTGATCCTCCTGCCTCTGCCTCCCAAGTGCTGGGATTAAAAATGTGCACTAACATGCGTAGCTCCTTTTTCTTTTTTTTCAAAGATGGCTTTCTCTATGAAGACCATGCTGATATCAAATTCGTGGCCATCTTTCTGTCTCAGCCTCCTGAGTGCTGGGGTTATAAGAAAGAGCCATCTTAAAACACTTTGGTGGGCAGGAGTTTGCAGTAGTTTCTTACTGTATCTTGTTTCCTGGTTTGTGATGGGATCCACGTTTTTTACACAAACCTTCCTTAAACAAAGCTAGTTTTATTGTTTTAATCACTGTACTCTTATTGTTGCCCTTGTCTAGAATGCTGTCTTTTCTCTCTTCTCTGTGTTATATTTAGATTATTCTTATTCTCAAGTTTGGTGGGTTTGTTTGTTTTGTGTTTTGTTTTTTGAAAGTATGTTTGTAATTCAAATTCAGTGAGATTACTCTGTATTCATTTGTAGGTGTTCTAATAAAATTTTAGTGATGAATCCTTTTAGGAAGTAATGATCTTTCTTTGGTGTTGTTTTGGGAGAAAGACCAGATTATACTAAGTGTGTCTTTCTCTCTGGCGCTAGCTCAAGTTCCTGTCTTTGCCTGACACCTGGATGAAAGAATTCTTCCTGGCTCATATATACACAGAATTGCAGCTGATAGAGGAGGCCCTGCAGAAGTATCAACATCTCATTGATGTGGGCTTTTCCAAGAGCTCATACATTGTTTCTCAGATCGCAGTTGCCTATCACAATATCAGAGGTGAGTGAATAAGGGCACTGAATGATGACAGACTCTGAGTACAGTTGGTTGGTTTTGAACTCTGCCTTCTTTTTGCAGATATTGATAAAGCTCTTTCTATTTTTAATGAACTGAGGAAACAAGACCCTTACAGGATTGAAAATATGGACACATTCTCCAATCTTCTTTATGTCAGGGTAATTTGTTCCTCTTGGTTGCACTTGACGAAGCTCCTAGATTAGATTATCATGTTTATCTAAAAAACAAACAAACAGCTTCAGGTGCTTTGTCATGTTCATGAAGTCTTCCTCTTTTTTTTCCAGAGCATGAAATCTGAATTGAGTTATTTGGCACATAACCTCTGTGAAATTGATAAATACCGAGTAGAAACGTGCTGTGTAATTGGTGAGTTAGCTATGCTTATTTCTTTTAAGACCTTTCTCTCTCTCTCTCTTTCTCTCAACACACATCTTTCCCATGCCTTATACCACTAGCTTTCTAGCTTATAATTTTGCTTCTTATAGGCATTTTATGTTAATGGATAATATTGCTTAATATTAATAACAATCTTATTGTCTAACTTCTTTTAGTTAGCATCTTTCATTTTCCTTTTCTGACTGCCTAGAGTATACCAGAGTGCCCTCAAACTCACAAAACTCTGCCTGCTTTTCCCTCCTAAATGCTAGGATTTAAGGTATTTGTGACCCTTTAAACCATCATGCTTTTAAGATTTAGGAATGTTGTAACATCTAAAGTAATTCTTTTTCTTCCTGGATTGGGTCCCATTGTTTGGATCTACTATATTTTGCTTACCCATTCATGACTCATGGTAAGAAAGGTAACTTTTAGACTCATAAATTTGTCTTTTCACACACAGTTGTAAAAGAGTGCTGTGGTTCTGGGGTAAGAAGCTAAGAGCTCTAACTTTTTAATTCTTTTAAGAAATCCCTTTGAAGTCTAGGTTTAAAATGATGTAGTCTAGAACCACTAATCTAAATGAACAAAAAAAAAAAAAAAATCAAAGCAGGTGTGGTGGCATATATCTTTAATCCTAGCACTGGGGAGGACAAGGCAGGTTGATCTCTGAGTTCAAGGCCAGCCTGGTCTACAGAGAGTGTTCCAGGACAGCCAAGGCTACAAGAGAAATACCATCTCTCAAAAAAACAAAAAAATCATCAATCTAAAGCATGCTATAGAAAAATTCTCATATAACAAAAATATATATAAATGCTATGTGTACATGAGATAAATGAGGGAACAGTTTTTAATTTTTTATGTTTATTTTAAGGGTTTATTTATATTTATTAATATATATATATGTGTGTGTATGTATATGTATGTATGTATGTGTCTGGTACAAAAGGAGGCTAGATCCCCTGACCCTGGAGTTACAGTTGTGAGCTGCCATGTGGGTGCTAGAAATTGAACCCCAGTCCTCCGGAAGAGCAGCTGGTGTTCTTAATCCACTGAGCCATCTCTCCTGGGTATATGTGTTTACTGGAATCATTTTTTTTTTTTTTAATCAGGCAATTATTATAGCTTACGCTCCCAGCATGAGAAAGCAGCCTTGTATTTCCAGAGAGCTCTGAAGTTGAATCCTAGGTATCTTGGGGCCTGGACATTGATGGGGCATGAGTACATGGAAATGAAGAACACATCTGCTGCTATCCAAGCTTACCGGTGAGCATTTAGTTGGGTTAGGGAGGGGTAAGTAGAACAAAATCCTGTGTTATCAGGAGCCTATGTGTTGCTAACCTTAATTCTTTTACCATATTTCTGGTTTGATTTGTCTATTTCTTAGACATGCCATTGAGGTCAATAAGAGAGACTACAGAGCTTGGTATGGCCTTGGGCAGACCTATGAAATCCTTAAGATGCCATTTTATTGCCTTTATTATTATAGACGGGCCCACCAGCTTCGGTAAGTTGGTTTCTTGACAATGTGGGAAGAAGGGTTAATCAGTGTCATCTCTCTCTCAGGCAAAAAAAGGTGTGGTCTAGTAATTTTTTTTTTTTTTTTTTTTTGAGACAGGGTTTCTCTGTGGCTTTGGAGGCTGTTCTGGAACTAGCTCTTGTAGACCAGGCTGGTCTTAGAACTCACAGAGATCTGACTGCCTCTGTCTCCTGAGTGCTGGGATCAAAGGTGTAAGCCACCACTGCCCAGCAGTAATTTTTATTTAGTGGCTCTACTAGTAGATTTATAGGATAATTATGAACACAAAGTAATGTAATTAAATGAAACATTGATTTAAAAACAGTCCTTACCTATTGGGAATACCATGGAAATAGTAGAGACTAACCTTTCAATTGAGGTCTTGGTAAAGTCTTTGCTCTAACTATTTGTTACCTCTTTCATAGTCCCAATGATTCTCGTATGCTGGTTGCCTTAGGAGAATGTTATGAGAAGCTCAATCAACTAGTGGAAGCCAAAAAGGTACCTCAAATTTTGGGCTGAAGAATTTGAGCAGAAATCTGTTTAGAAGGAGGTTGGGTTGTATATTCTGTCTGCCCCCACTACTGTCTGCCCCACCCTTATACCCCCCTCCCTGTATTTTGATGTATGTGTATAGCAAAGTCTGAATAGGTGCATAGGATAAAAAGAAATTAGGCTGAGCTTATCATCATGGATGTGTACATGTAGCCTGGATCTATAATAGTTAGGAAAAATGCTCCATATTGTGTAAGCCTGCATTTCTAGAAGGCTTGCATGGCCTTAGTATTTATGTGATTAGTTGTTCCACATGGGCAGTAGTCAGAAGTGACTGGTTTATTCTTTGACAGTGTTATTGGAGAGCATATGCTGTGGGAGATGTGGAGAAAATGGCTCTCGTGAAGCTTGCAAAGTGAGTGAATGTTTCTGATACTTGTGTTGATTTTCCTGAGGTCATGTCATATATGAATTTGGTTATGGAGCAGGGTGTGGAAATGCTCGTTTTACAATTGAGCACCACTTTTTATCCGTGTTGTGGATGAACCCGGAACCTCATACATGCTAGGCATGAAGTTATATTCTGGCCCTAGCCTTTTGACTCTACAGAGTGCCACTTAATGTTGAATTTGGCAAGAGATGAAAAATGAATTGAGAAAGACATCAATGTACTAGAGGTGTAGTCAGTGGTTGAGGATTTGCCTAGCATGTATCAAGGCCTGTGTGCATGGGAGAATTGCTCAGAAGTAGTTAGTTGTTTGATATAGTTTTTATTCTTACCAGGATTAACAGGAAAGTTTTGCAAGAGTATATTATCCAATTGTGAGTTTAAGTTAACTACTCTTTTTTTTCAAACGCTTTTTAAGTTTTATGTATATGTGTATGGGTACGTGCATATGGAGGTCAGGGGACATCTTTATCAGGCTTTGCTTCAAGTGCCTTGAAAGTCATCTCATCCAGCCCTTAAATAACTTTTTGAGACAAGGTCTTACTATGTTGTCCTGGGAGACATCCTGCTTGTTTTGTTTGTTTAGATTTTGGTTTTTTAAGACGGTCTCTGTGTAGCCCTGGCTATCCTGGAACTGCCTTGTAGACCAGTCCAGATCCACCTGCCTCTGCCTCCTGAGTGCTGGGATTGAAGGCATGTGCCACAGTAACTATCTGGTAGGCACTAATAGTCTTCAAGGTCTCAACATGTCGCATATGTCAAAATTTACTTGTTTATATGTCATTTCTGGTTTTAATTATGTCTTCACTTTTTAATCTTTGACTTGCTTTGTGGTGTGACTTTTATTTAAAGCCCAATTTCTTTTGTAGGCTTCATGAACAGTTGACTGAGTCAGAGCAGGCTGCCCAGTGTTACATCAAATACATCCAAGATATCTATTCCTGTGGGGTATGTGTCAGAACATGAGAGCTGTGTCATTGACGGCTTCTTGTTACCTCAGTCATGCCTGCTTTCCTTATCCTAGGAAGTAGTGGAGCACTTGGAGGAGAGCACAGCCTTCCGCTATCTGGCTCAGTACTATTTTAAGTGCAAGCTGTGGGATGAAGCTTCAACTTGTGCCCAGAAGTGTTGTGCATTCAACGATGTGAGTATTGGCTTTTAAAAGGTTTGGATTTTAGGTCAAAAGATATGGTCTTTACATGATGTGTAGGGAAGCCTACTTTGTTCTGTCATCCACTGAGTAGTCTTTTTTTTTTAAGGTGGGGCAGGACTCTTTTAAAATTTGTAAGGAATGTTCTGAACAGTATTTTAATAACCAGCTTTTGAGAATAACATTGAGCATATTTTGAAACAGTTGTGACTTTGTTTCAGACCCGGGAAGAGGGTAAGGCCTTGCTCCGTCAGATCCTACAGTTGCGGAACCAAGGGGAGACTCCCAGCACTGACACGCCTGGTACCTTTTTCCTCCCTGCCTCACTGTCTGCAAACAACACTCCAACACGCAGAGTTTCTCCACTCAACCTGTCTTCAGTCACACCATAGTTGACAACTCAAGTCAGCACATTGCTAGACCAGTATTAAGCCTTACCTCCAGTAAAGAACAGCCACATCTGTTCTCCCAAGGACCTAAGTAAGCTCTTCTCATTTTTACAGATAGAAACAGCCTTGGGGACAGCCTATGGAATCACCTTCAGAGGCAGACAGAACTATGGCAGGGGACAGGTACTGTCTTCTCCCAGCAAGCACTTCTTGGCCTTCCCATAGTCTCCCCACCTCCAAAAATCCCTTTCACAGCACTTTACCATAAGTGATGCTACAGAAACAAGGTTTTAATGCTGCTGGGAGTGGATAGGCAAGGAAGGGGGTAAAAATTATCCTGCTTGTCTGCTGCCAGTAGGGAGGTCAGGTATTGAATAGTAATGACCTCTCTGTGTAGCCTAGGCTGGGATCTTCCTGTTTCAGCTTCCCTAATGATGGGATTACAGGCATATGCCATGAGGCCAGGTTAGAATGACCTTTATTTTGCCGAGTGTGGCTTCTATTATGATGTCAGAGATTTGGTTTAAATGGAGTGTAGCTAGCTATCCATGATCTTTGGGAGACAGTTTTCAAAGAGAGTCTTCTAAAACCTTTCAAGTGGAAGTCTCAATGAGCATGAACTATATAGATGGCTGGCTAGAGCATTAACTATACCCTGATAACTTCGTTTTGGATATTTGAAACTTTTATTTCAGATATTAAAATTCATGCTGGTATCTTTTAGTAAATACCTTGTTTTCAACCTTATGTATAAGGTTGAGGGACTCATCCTATGTTCTTGATGTTTATACTATGTGATACTATAGATCATTCTGTGTTTAAGGTGTCGACTACTTCTCTCGTGCTCAGAACATTTTTATTACCCTCTTACTTTTGAGACCATTTATAAAGAAACATTAGCTGGACATTGTGGAGCATGTCTTTAATCCTAGCATTTTGGAGACAGAGGCAGGTGGACTTTTTGAGACCAGCTGTGTACACAGCAAGTTCCATGCCAGTCAGAGCTACATATATAGTAAAACCAAACAAAAAAACAAACCTTCTAAATATATATTGCCATTTGACTCATTTCATAGTATGTCTTAGGCTGGTTCCCATTGCTGTTCCTGTCCAAGGGTCCATTGGGCCAGATGGTATTTATATCAGTTTCTGTCCCCTTTTTTATATTTTTCTAAGTTTGGAATCCAAATAAAAGCATAAACAATGTCTTTATTCAGTATATTTGTGCACAGAAAAAAAGATTATATAGGTGGTTATAATACAGTAATTCTGGATACAGTTCAAGATATATATGTATATATATATATATATATATTCTGAAGCTTAAGAGACTTATAAGCTGAGCAGCTGACCAATCTCAAGCATGCATCTTCTCCACAACTTTAGTATTTTTTGCCAAAAGGAGATCTGAGCAAAGGAGAGTGTCGTGAGCGCAAGATCCGTGTATAAGGGCTGCTGTCTGTCGAGCTTTGGCAGGTGGGTGTTCGGGGAAGTAAGTTTCGAAGGAATGGTTTCTTTCCCGGGGGTTGATGATTTGGTTGCTGGTTTTCCTGGTTTGTTCCCAGCCGCTTTTTAGCAGAAGCCTGGTTTTGGAGCTTTAGCACAGTGTGATACTGCTCAGCAATGCAGGTTGCCTTTTTCTGAAGGTCCAGTTTCACTAGCATCATGTTATTCTGTAGCTCAGCCAGGGTCTGATTCTAAGAAACATAAAAAGTTAGAGGAGAGAAAAAAAAAAAAAAAAAAATGCCATCTATTACTAATTTCTTCAAAGGTTGAATCTTTCTAAGTTCTAGGCCAGCCAGGTCTAAATAGTGAGACCCCATCATTTTCTGGAAACAAAGACCAGAACTTTCAGCCTGTCCCTAGGTATCAAGTATCATGCTCAGTCTAAAAAGTGTACACTTTTATTTAGCATTTTAAGATCTCTGGCATCGGGACAAATCAACAAGAAATGCCATAGAGTGATAGAGTATCTGTTTAGCATATAGGACCCCCTGGGCCCCACCCCTATCATGACATTTTTTTCACTTAAGTACATTTTTTAATCTTCTGTTCTCAGTTCCCTTCTCACATATACACTGGAGTGGGCTGGAAAGGGGAGGAATACCTAGGCTGCCCTCACCTGTTTGATTAAGATGTCATCACAGTTGGTTAAGGCTTGCCGAAGTTTCCCTGCCCCGGTGCTGTGGCAGCAGGCCCTTTCTGCCGACTGGAGAGACTGTTCTAGTTTCTGAAGCTCTGTCCGTAGCAATCTTATATTCTGAAAGAGTAAGAATCACATTGTAGCCAAAATCAACCATGGCAGCCATTTGAAGACAGGCTTAAGGAAACGGGGGTGGGGTGGGGGGGTGGGTGGGTGTTGGTGAGGGCACTTGCCCCCAAGCAGTCCTGAGTTAAATCCCAGGAACCCATGTGGCCTCCACATTACCACACACAAACAAATGTAAAGCAAACGCAAAGGCTGGTTTTATAAATAAATAAAACAAATAAGCCTCCTCATTCTTACATAAGTTTCAGGTAAAGGGCTTTGGTATCAAAGAAAGGTTAATACCTTCTGGCCCTCCTCTAACTTCTTATCTACATCAATGGTGAAGGGCTTGGCTGTAGGTGGCGGTTCTAACATTTGCCGATACTTCTGCAGCTCTGAGGGGGAAAATAATACATTCAATACAGGGGGTTTTCAGCTTTTGGCTTACCTCTTTAACAGTAGCAAGTAGACAAAGTGAGGCAATGTGCATTCGCGGGTAGATATAGCTTGGAGCTGGAGTCAGAAGGACTTCTTAGAACACCAGCTCTTCCCTCACCCACTACCACTGTAGGGCTTTCTGCCTTCCTTCCTCACCTTCAGTTGTAGAGTTTAGCTCTGCTTTGCATTGCTCTAGTTTAGCTGTAACTTCCTGCAGCTGCTGAGTGGAGGCAGAAGCTGCCAACCTTTGTGACCGCCGTAGGGACAGTTCAGACCCTGACTGTTGAGCCACAGGCTGCTGTTTGGCTTCCTGCAATAGAGTTTCTAACTCTTCAATTTTTTCATCCCGCTCCTAAGAGGGAAGCAGAAAGCACAGTTCTGTCCAGGGTCAGACAAATACCAAAGGACCAGATTAAACGAACATAAATCTTGACTCTGAACCTAAGACTCAATAATTACAAGGCACTAAGGGAAATGAAGAAAAATGAGGTATATATTCCTGTTCTTACTAGAGTTTATAAAACTAAGCTGGGTGTGGTGGTGCATACCTGTAATCCCAGCCTCAGGAGGCAGAGAGACAGGCAGATCTCCAAGTTTGGAGTTGAGGCCATTCTAGTCTACAGAGAGTTCCAGGATAGCCAGGACTCTTATAGAGAGAAACTCTGTCTCGAAAACCAAATTGACTAATAGATAAACAAGTAAAAGTAAAAAGTTGTTTTTTTTTTTTTTTTTTTCAATCTTAGACAACCAAGTGATGGAAGTCTAAATGGAGTTGGGATTGGTTGGGGGCAAACTCACCTGAATCTCTTCTTGGTAGAAACTTGTCAGTGATTCCTTCAGGATCTTTAGCTTCTCTTCATACAGTTCCTCCAACAGTTCCTTTTGGTTGTCCAAATGCTCACTGACAGAAAAGTGTAGGTAGTAAGGATAGTAAGGAGTGAAATTAAGGCACAAACCCACTCTTCTGCCCCCATCATAGGTGATTCTGAAGGGCCCAGAAATAGAGGGAACAGGAATATAAAAATATGAAACTATGAGCCCAAACACATTTTGGAAAAAAAAAAAAATACACAAAGCCGCCAGCCACTCTTAATCTTTAACAGCCACTTTCTGCCTTAAGAGCAGACAACCTTGCCAGGCAATGGTGGTACACACCTTTAATCCCAGCATCTGGGAGGCAGTGACAGTTGGATCTCTGTGTTGAGACCAGCCTGGTCTACTGAACGAGATACAGGGCAGGTTCCAAAGCTACAGAGACCTTGTCTTGAAAAACAAGGACAACAAAAAACCAGACATCCTGGCAGCCACTATGTACAGGTGAACTTTTAACAATTGTCTCCCAGCTAGGCAGGTACAGCAGACAAAGGTTAATATCTAACTACTGCAGGAGGAGTTGGTTGTATTCCCTTAATTCTTGACTGTCCTACGTGACTCTGCTCTCTGCCTTGTATTCTTTCAGGGACAGCGAAAACCTGATGTATCAACCACAGGCTTTTGCAAACATCCCAAGTTAACATCCTAACATTCTATAACAAAAAGTTGTTAAAACTTAAAAATGTAATGTGATTTAAGCCTGACTTAAAGGTTGTAAAAGCTCTTTGACCCACAACAAGTCCTCAGTGCCACAGTTTTAGAAACCAGATCTCTAGCTGTGGTCCCAGTTAACTGGTAAGCTTTTTATTCCCCAAGGTGTTTTTTAAAGTTATTTATTATGTATATAGCATTCTGCCTCCATGAATGCCCCACACCAGAAGAGGGCACCAGATCTCGTTATAGATGGCTGTGAGCCACCATGTGGTTGCTGGGACTTGAACTCACAATCTCTGGAAGAGCAGTTAGAAGAGCCATCCCTCCAAAAAATAAAAGAACTATTTTTGGAATAAAGTTTGCTTCTGTTTCAGACTTTTGTGTTCTGTTCCCCCACTTTTTGCGCCCTTGCACCCAACAGCTCAGTAGAAGGTATCATTAGGCGGCACCTGCTCCATTGCTCCCGCTGTCGCATCTGTTCCATCATCTCATTGCAAATTTCCTCCCGCAGCTGCACCTCCAGCTGCAGCTTTTCTTGTCGTTCTTTTAAAAGCAGTGCTTTCATGGCCTCCACCACTTGTAGTAGCTCCTAGAAAGAACACATCTGTAAGAGTTAAGATCCTAGCCAGGTGTTGGTGGCCCACGCCTTTGATCCCAGCACTCGGGAGGCAGAGGCAGGCAGATCTGAGTGTGAGGGAAGCCTGGTCTACAGAGTGAGTTCCAGGACAGCCTCTAAAGCTGTAGAGAAACCCTGCCTCGAAAAACCAAAAAAGAAAAAAGAAAGAGAGAGAGAGAGAGATCTTAATATTCCTCCAGCAGTAAAATGCCCAAACCCATTTGGAATACACTATGGAAAATGTATAGCCATCAAGCTGCTATCTAGAGCTTTCTTGTATCTCACCTCCTTGCCATACATGGAGATGTCAGCTTCGTTTTCAGGATGGTCATCAAGGCCTGAGTCAGTGTTGTCCCCTTTCTTTAAGCCAGGGGATACCTGAAGACTGTGTTCCTTGATGAATGAATGAAGCGATGGGATTCCCAAATGTATAGGTGGGGAATGCACAAGCTAGAGGAAAAAAAGAATCTTAATTGACTCTTTAACTAGTTCCTAAGAGCTATCTTAAGGTTATCAGTCTAAAGTAAATACGATCATCGTCATGCCTATAGCTTCACACCTGGCTGGCAAGGGCTGAGAACTTGGCCACATGAAGAGTCTCATCATAGGTAGATGCACAGGGATTCACATTGACAATCATACACGAACGGCCTCGACCTGTGAAGAAGCCTTGGAACACACGAGTCAACTTGCTGTCCCGGAAAGGAATCAGGTTCTGCTTTGACCTTGCACAGAATCAGATAAAATAGCATTAACAAAACTTCATCTGGGTGTTGGTGGTGCACTCCTTTAATACCGGCACTTGGGAGGTAGTAGAGGCAGGTGGATCTCTGTGAGTTCAAGGCCAGCCTGGTTTATGGAGTTCCAGGAAAGCCTCCAAAGCCACAAAGAAACCTTGTCTCAAAAAACCAAAAGAAAAAAATCCCCAAAACTTCAGCCCTGGAGGGCATTTCCAGGCACCATCCTGACTGGTAACCTGCAACTGACCAAATCACCAAGCCCCAGGCCATCCTATCCTCCAGCTTACCGGTTCTGCTGATTTTGTCTCAGGGCAGCAATACATCGACCCAGGGTATGCAGAGAAGTATTAATGTTTCCTGCTTCCTTTAGCCGTTCACCACTTTTTTGATCTTTGCAGCGCTCTGAGCCAGCCAAATCACAGAGTGACAGTCTGGATGGAATAATGTGTAGGATCTGGTATAAGGAACTCATAGCTTATTATATAATTCTGGTAAGGGAAGGGCCTACGAATTTTTGTACCCAAAGAAGGAGAACAATTAATTCCTTTGAGAAGTTCCCTTTGCCCCCACAACTAGGTGGCCAAGATGATGAACTTTCTAAATGGGAAGACTTACTCACTGATCTTGGGCACTATATCCCCTT